CTGCTGCTTGTTGTATTTCAGGAAGAATAACGATAAATGATGTGCAACAATCGAAAATTCATGTGTTCGATTCGCAACTTTTATGCTTTGTAAAAAATAGCAAAGATACTTAAGCTGTTTCAAAAACATACCACCTTGATCTACTAAGTCTAAGCTTTGCAGCAATGCCAAAATTGTAGGTAAAAGAAGTCTAGTTTAGAAGAAATCGCGTTCGGAAATGGATGGTGACCGGAAGTGAGTGCTTGACTCTAGTTACCAAGTTACCCAGTTACCAAGTTACCCAGTTACCAAGTTACCCAGCTACCAAGTTACCCAGTTACCAAGTTACTGAGTTACCAAGTTACTGAGTTACCAAGTTACCCAGTTACTGAGTTACCAAGTTACCTATAGTTACCAAGTTACTTATAGTTACCAAGTTACCCAGTTACCAAGTTACCCAGCTACCAAGTTACCCAGTTACCAAGTTACCCAGTTACTGAGTTACCAAGTTACCTATAGTTACTGAGTTACCCAGCTACCAAGTTACTGAGTTAACCAAGTTACCCAGTTACTGAGTTACCAAGTTACCCAGTTACCTTACTGAGTTACCAAGTTACCCAATTACTAAGCTAGCCATCTATCATTTGACAGTTATAGGTTCATAGAGCTATGGTTCCTAAGCATCATGTAGATCTATACCCATAAGTCACAATAAGTAGCTCCAAGCCAGAGTAGTCAAAGTGACCAAAGTTACTGGTAACTCCACTTTTTTATTTAGTTTGTTGGTGTCCTCATACCTTGCCACATATGTCGTAAGAAGGAGGATGCTTTCTGGTTTGTGAGGAAAGATGACATGTCACAATCAGTCCAGATAACTTTATTCTAGTTACAGATAATAAGGGAGTACACAAGATATCAATAAACGGACAAGACAGTGGGTCTTTAGCTGAAAAGGGAGAGAAACCAGGCCAGTTTAATACACCTGAAGGTATAATTGCCTCTCATGATACACATCACATCTATGTTGCTGATCGTGGCAATCACAGAATTCAAGTCCTCAATCCAGACTTGACCTCATTTCTTGTGTTTGGCAGCAAAGGATCTGGTGAGGGCCAGTTTGACGAACCTTGGGGCCTAGCTATTGACAGTGACGAGTTTCTTTATGTCGTTGACTCTAAAAATCACCGCATTCAAAAGTTTACGTCCAAAGGAGAATTTGTAATGGAGTTTGGCAAAACTGGAGAAGGGACTTTATCATCTCCTGCTGGCATAACTATCAGCCACAAGAATCAGTTATATGTCACAGAGAAGGGAACTCATTCTGTTGCTGTGTTTGATACTGAGGGTCACTTTATCAATCGATTCGGTCGTCATGTCAGCAATCCAGATTATTGTCTTAAATGTCCCGAGGGGATCGACTTTGACTGCAATGGACTCTTATACATTTGTGACTATTTTAATAAAAGAATAGTAGTATACTAGTTGTTATTTTTGCAAATCATGTTTGTGGTTTAAATTGGTATTTTTGTATAAACAATAATACAGTGAATTTTAACTTAGATCTAATTGCGAGTGGGTGTGAACGAGCTGTCCCCTTCAATTAATCGCACTAAGCAAACTGACGTTACGCTAGACTAGTCGATATGGCTGTAGCCCAGAGCCTTCCAGTCGGCTTGTCTCTCTTCTCGGACTATCAGCTAGTGGAAAGAAGTGGTCACTCGACACTAAAGGTAGGGGACTACCTGTACATGTGGGGTGGTATCCAGCCAGATCTCCCAACAGCTCACAACAATGAAAAGAAGAAAGCAATGTCGACTCTCATTGAGGTATACCACTTACCAACAGGAGCCTGGGAGCAGAAAGCAACAATCGGTATCCCACCACTTGGCATCTCTGGATATGCATCAGCAGTCATTGGGAATGAAATATTTTATTATGGAGGCTATTGCAATCACGACGACTGCTACCACAATAGCCTGTACAGTTTCAACGTTGATACCCTCACTTGGAAGCTACTCTCATCAACCACTCCTCACCACGGCCCGAGAATGAAGCACCACTGTGGCATGGTACCGATACATTTTGATGGCGAGAGCTACCTTGTATTGATTGGGGGATACGGCCCGGCATATAACAATACGCTTAAGCAACCCGGTGCTCAGTATTGGCAGAAAAACCTTGTTGCAGCTGGAATGCAGCATACGAATGAGATCTATTATTACAAACTATCTACAGGTTAGTTTTTTGAGTATTCTTGCTGTCATTGATGGAATGTGCTGTAGTAGTCTACTAGCCTATATTGTCATAACTGATGAATAATCCCAACTATATATAAGGGTCATTAGGCAAATACAACTCTCATTTGTTGCATGAATTGGTTTCCTAGTTGCAGCTGTTGTATGGATTCTGTGGTTAGCGTACAACTGCTATAGAGTAGACCTGAGCTTTATCTCTATTATATTGTTGTAAATATGTGTTTGTAGCATGAAAACGGCCCTGCTTGTGTGCTTGCATGTGTATAATAACTGATACCACTATACAAATGTGTACACATGTATTATTTTATAAGGAGGTTAACTGAGCATACATGTACTTTTTAAATCATAGATCAGTGGTTGACTCCAAGCATTACTGGAAACAGGCCACCACCCATTGAAGACTTCACTCTAACAATGATTGATAACAACACTGCTATCCTGTTTGGTGGGGACACCACAAATGGAGAGAGCAATAACTTATTTATCATTAGATTCTCCAAAATGTCAATGGTGAGTTGCGTTTCACTATTACAGTGATTTCCTTAAACTTGCATGATAGAG